AACCTGGTAAACGTATGAGATTTGAGAAGCAAATCGAATAAACTTTGAATAAATGTGAATCTTATTTGAATACCTTGGATTACAAAAAAGTACAATTTGTATTGCTCCATCATTTCATTTCACATCAAAAGTTGGTAATTCCTTAGTAGGGGCAGCAATTAGTTAGGCATAGGCGATTAAGCATTGGCAGACGAAGTTATTCGAAACTGAGATCCCTTTCCGAGCAAGGAAAGATAATGGATTCTAATTATGGGTTTTCCTCGAACTTGTGATGAATGTTGATCAGGAGGGTTACTCTAACTTCTTGCCAAGAATCTTTCGGGTTAATTAAGCGAGAGATTCTTGTCGGCGGAAGTGTCAGAGAGATCACACGGCTTAGATTATCATGGAAAATCAATAGCAGTTCGGAATATGACCAGTTTAATGCACCATTGTAGTAGTGGAATTCCAATATAGCTCCTGACGTCAAAGACAGACATTAATTTGACCTTCTCTGTAAAGTTCATTATTTTATATAATTTGAAAATTGTTGTGTTTTAAAAAATAGAGTTATAGAAATTATTCAATGTAATTTAAGACGTAATAACTACATTAATAAGAAATGGTAAAAGGAGTATTTGTTAATTATTTAATATACGAAAATATACACGGTATTCATCCAAAATATTTAATGGACACTGAAACAAATGTTCCGGCCCTTTGAAAGTGATTCTTGGATCCATGTAATGCAAGTGAACTATCTGCAAATGTTTGGATTGAATTTGTTCATTGTAAACTTCAGTATATTTCAATGTATATCATTTACTATGTCTTATTTCGAATTCCTTGATGTTAATTCAACCAGTATCTGGTACTTTTATGATGCTACATGGCGGGAACACACCATGTTGGTGACTTTCAGGGAGCGATGATTAATTGTCTCTCGTTGGAACGGAGGGCCCTGAAAACTACAAGCGGGTGGGAGGAGGTAGTCAAAAATATGAAACATGCCGTTATAGCTTCAGAATCCGATTAAGCATTAAGAATTCTATCCAGAAGTCTCTTCTGTATTGTATTTAAGTGCGGCATTCAACTTCTTAGGTTGCATTACGCCCAGAGCTGTATGGATGCACTAGAGTCACCATATCGCTACGATAGTTTGAGCAAGACTATATGATAGCAATCCGTGAAGGCCAGAGGGTGACCCGTAGACGTGGTATCTATTCGTTCCTTTATACATATCTGGAAAATGTTTTATATCGCGGTTCGAGTCTCATTCTCAGGAGGAAGGCGACGATTGATCCGAGAGACTGTCCAGGTCATCGGGATGTTGTGTCTTGCTCGATTTCCTGCATATCTTATTAGCGACGACAATTTCAGGTGTGGTAAAAATTGATTAGGCGAGGACATAAATACGATCTCTGCGAGGTGCCAGAAATTTACTACATGACGATATTCTAAACGACGTTTAAAATATTGTATATAATAGTCATGGGTAGATATGGCTAAGTTGTCATGTGAAGAAATTGTTAGGTGAAATGTTTATAGAAAATATATATAGGTAGATAATAGAAAGAGAGATTATTAAAATAGCATGTGATAATAGACAAGAATAAGTATAATTATAATCAATATTTAATATCATGAATGAATATCAAGACAAATAATAGATGAGATAATTAAAGATTATTAGAAATGACAGAGTGGTTGCTGCGATAGAGAAAAGTATAGATGCCATCTTGGTCTCACATAAATCTTCGAAGTGGCACATTCTGTGCGGTGACCTAGAATAGAGACATATCGAGCACACATATAAGAGGCATATACATAGTTCAGTAGGTAGACTCTTGAACATTATGATGTAGTATCTGCGCCAGGCGACCGTAAGCAGAGTCCCCGGGAGCTCCTGAGATGTACGAGAGCACGCTCGCAGCGCGACTCGATATGACGTCAGGCGCTCGCGTCGGAGCGTTACAGAGCTGGAGGCGATGATCGAGCATGTAGATAGGGCGTCGTGTGGTGCGTTGAACGTGCGCTGAATAGAGGCGCGTTTTGAGCGCCGCGCTCCGCGCCATACGCCGTGAGTGCGGCGCAGATCGCTCCATGAGCGGTCGTAGCTGATTGGAGACTCCGACGAGCTTGGCGCGCGCGTTTGTGCTGTTGGCCTTGCGCCGTGAGAGCCCCCCCCCCACACACACACACACTCTATGCGCGCCCGATTGATGCGCAAAACGCGAAACGTACTTTTTGCTGATGCAGAAAATCGCACACAACATAATATAAAGTAACATGCTTGTTAATAAATATATTATTTAAGTGATATTGAGGATACTCAAGATCACACTATATAAGGAATTATTGAATAGAGTAATATGAATAGTGACTCATTTCGTATGTATTGGCGCCAAGGCTTTTCTATTTAAATCACAATATATATGTATCTTACACGTCGTGTCAATAACGGCTACCAATGTCCTCCGTGAAAAATGCACGTACTACTCTTCTTACTTTCGCCTACCGGGCACAGAATAAAGTATGCAGGCCCATGGTATAACACGTTGGTTCATATAGTGGATGGTTCTGTATTGTTATAGACTTGAATTGAGATGGAATATAAAATTCCGTAATGTGGCAACAGAATAGTATTTTTTTCTGGCTGCCTGCAGAAATTATTCAGGAAATAGATATGGTGTATAGGTTATATTAGATACGTATCATGTAAGTAAATAATCACGTTG